ACAGGTGCTACACTGACGTGTGGGGCAACAAGTGTTACACTGACGTGTGGGGCTACAGGTGTTACACTGACGTGTAGGGCTACAGGTGTTACACTGACGTGTGGGGCTACAAGTGTTACACTGACGTGTGAGGCTACAGGTGCTACACTGACGTGTAGGGCTACAGGTGTTACACTGACGTGTGGGGCTACAGGTGTTACGCTGACGTATGAGGCTACAGGTGCTACACTGACGTGTAGGGCTACAGGTGTTACACTGACGTGTAGGGCTACAGGTGTTACACTGACGTGTGGGGCTACAAGTGCTACGCTGACGTGTGGGGCTACAAGTGCTACACTGACGTGTGAGGCTACAGGTGTTACAATGACGAGTGGGGCTACAGGTGTTACACTGGCGTGTGGGGCTACAGGTGCTACACTGACGTGTGGGGCTACAGGTGTTACACTGACGTGTGGGGCTACAGGTGTTACACTGACGTGTGGGGCTACAGGTGTTACACTGACGAGTGGGGCTACAGGTGTTACACTGACGTGTGGGGCTACAGGTGTTACACTGGCGTGTGGAGCTACAGGTGTTACACTGACGGGTGGTGATACAGGTGTTACACTGACGTGTGGGGCTATAGGTGTTACACTGACGTGTGGGGCTACAGGTGTTTACTGACGTGTGGGGCTACAGGTGCTACACTGACGTGTGGGGCTACAGGTGTTACACTGACGTGTGGGGTTACAGGTGCTACACTGACGTGTGGGGCTACAGGTGTTACACTGACGTGTGGGGCTACAGGTGTTACACTGACGTGTGGGGCTACAGGTGTTACAATGACGATTGGGGCTACAAGTGTTACACTGACGTGTGGGACTACAGGTGTTACACCGACGTGTGGGGCTACAAGTGTTACACTGACGTGTGGGGCTACAGGGGCTACACTGACGTGTGGGGCTACAGGTGTTACACTGACGTATGAGGCTACAGGTGCTACCCTGACGTGTGGGGCTACAGATGTTACACTGACGTGTGGGGCTACAGATGTTACAATGACGATTGGGGCTACAAGTGCTACACTGATGTGTGGTGCTACAGGTGTTACACTGACGAGTGGGGCTACAGGTGTTACACTGACGTGTGGGGCTACAGGTGTTACACTGGCGTGTGGAGCTACAGGTGTTACACTGACCGGTGGTGATACAGGTGTTACACTGACGTGTGGGGCTATAGGTGTTACACTGACGTGTGGGGCTACAGGTGTTTACTGACGTGTGGGGCTACAGGTGCTACACTGACGTGTGGGGCTACAGGTGTTACACTGACGTGTGGGGTTACAGGTGCTACACTGACGTGTGGGGCTACAGGTGTTACACTGACGTGTGGGGCTACAGGTGTTACACTGACGTGTGGGGCTACAGGTGTTACAATGACGATTGGGGCTACAAGTGTTACACTGACGTGTGGGACTACAGGTGTTACACCGACGTGTGGGGCTACAAGTGTTACACTGACGTGTGGGGCTACAGGGGCTACACTGACGTGTGAGGCTATAGGTGTTACACTGACGTGTGGGGCTACAGGTGTTACACTGACGTGTGGGGCTACAGGTGTTACACTGACGTGTGGGGCAACAGGTGTTACACTGACGTGTGGGGCTACAGGTGTTACACTGACGTGTGGGGCTACAGGTGTTACACTGACGTGCGGGGCTACAGGTGCTACACTGACGTGTGGGGGAGGCTACAGGTGTTACACTGACGTACGGGGCTACAGGTGCTACACTGACGTGTGGGGCTACAGGTGTTACACTGACGTGTGGGGCTACAGATGTTACACTGACGTGTGGGGCTACAGGTGTTACACTGACGTGCGGGGCTACAGGTGCTACACTGACGTGTGGGGGGAGGCTACAGGTGTTACACTGACGTGCGGGGCTACAGGTGCTACACTGACGTGCGGGGCTACAGGTGTTACACTGACGTGCGGGGCTACAGGTGCTACACTGACGTGCGGGGCTACAGGTGTTACACTGACGTGTGGGGCTACAGATGTTACACTGACGTGTGGGGCTACAGGTGTTACACTGACGTGCGGGGCTACAGTTGCTACACTGACGTGTGGGGGGAGGCTACAGGTGTTACACTGACGTGCGGGGCTACAGGTGCTACACTGACGTGCGGGGCTACAGGTGTTACACTGACGTGCGGGGCTACAGGTGCTACACTGACGTGCGGGGCTACAGGTGTTACACTGACGTGTAGGGGGGCTACAGGTGTTACACTGACGTGTGGTGTAAGGAACGTGAGCATCTGACACAAACACGGCAAGATCCTGAAAAATTTATTGAATCACTTTTGTTGGCGTTGTAAACATTTGGTGAAGCAACTGACGATAACACGGACCAGCTGTCGATAACACGGACCAGCTGTCGATAACACGGACCAGCTGTCGATAACACGGACCAGCTGTCGATAACACGGACCAGCTGTCGATAACACGGACCAGCTGTCGATAACACGGACCAGCTGTCGATAACACGGACCAGCTGTCGATAACACGGACCAGCTGTCGATAACACGGACCAGCTGTCGATAACACGGACCAGCTGTCGATAACACGTTCCAGCTGTCGATAACACATGCCAGCTGTCGATAACACGAGCCAGCTGTCAATAACACGGACCAGCTGTAAATAACACGGGTCAGCTGTCGATAACACGGGCCAGCTGTCGATAACACGCGGCAGCTGTCAATAACACGGGCCAGCTGTCGATAACACGGGCCAGCTGTCAATAGCACGGGCGAGCTGTCAATAACACGGGCGAGCTGTCAATAACACGGGCGAGCTGTCAATAACACGGGCGAGCTGTCGATAACACGGGCCAGCTGTCAATAACACGGGCCAGCTGTCAATAACACGGGCCAGCTGTCAATAACACGGGCCAGCTGTCAATAACACGGGCCAGCTGTCAATAACACGGGCGAGCTGTCAATAACACAGGCCAGCTGTCAATAACACGGGCGAGCTGTCAATAACACGTGCCAACTGTCAATAACACGGGCGAGCTGTCAATAACACGGGCGAGCTGTCAATAACACGGGCCAGCTGTCGATAACACGGGCCAGCTGTCAATAACACGGGCCAGCTATCAATAACACGGACCAGCTGTCAATAACACGGGCCAGCTGTCGCTAACACGGGCCAGCTGTCAATAACACGGACCAGCTGTCAATGACACGGGCCAGCTGTCGATAACACGGGCCAGCTGTCGGTAACACGCGGCAGCTGTCAATAACACGGGCCAGCTGTCGATAACACGTGCCAGCTGTCGATAACACGTGCCAGCTGTCGATAACACGTGCCAGCTGTCGATAACTCGAGCCAGCTGTCGATAACACGGACCAGCTGTCAATAACACGGACCAGCTGTCAATAACACGGGCCAGCTGTCGATAACACGGGCCAGCTGTCAATAACACGGACCAGCTGTCAATAACACGGGCCAGCTGTCGATAACACGGGCCAGCTGTCAATAACACGGACCAGCTGTCAATAACACGGGCCAGCTGTCGATAACACGGGCCAGCTGTCGATAACACGCGGCAGCTGTCAATAACACGGGCCAGCTGTCGATAACACGGGCCAGCTGTCAATAACACGGGCGAGCTGTCAATAACACGGGCCAGCTGTCAATAACACGGGCAAGCTGTCAATAACACGGGCCAGCTGTCAATAACACGGGCCAGCTGTCAATAACACGGGCCAGCTGTCAATAACACGGGCCAGCTGTCAATAACACGGGCCAGCTTTCAATAACACGGGCCAGCTGTCAATAACACGGGCGAGCTTTCAATAACACGGGCCAGCTGTCAATAACACGGGCGAGCTGTCAATAACACGGGCGAGCTGTCAATAACACGGGCCAGCTGTCAATAACACGGGCCAGCTGTCAATAACACGGGCGAGCTGTCAATAACACGGGCCAGCTGTCAATAACACGGGCGAGCTGTCAATAACACAGGCCAGCTGTCAATAACACGGGCGAGCTGTCAATAACACGGGCGAGCTGTCAATAACACGGGCCAGCTGTCAATAACACGGACCAGCTGTCAATAACACGGGCCAGCTGTCGATAACACGTGCCAGCTGTCGATAACACGGGCCAGCTGTCGATAACACGTTCCAGCTGTCGATAACTCGAGCCAGGTGTCGATAACACGGGCCAGCTGTCAATAACACAGGCCAGCTGTCGATAACACGAGCCAGCTATCGATAACACGGGCCAGCTGTCAACAACACGTGGCAGCTGTCAATAACACGGGTCAGCTGACGATAACACGTGGCAGCTGACGATAACACGTGCCGGCAGTCGATAACACGGGCCAGCTGTCGGTGACAAGACACAGCTGTCGGTGACAAGGGGCAGCTGACGGTGACAAGACACAGCTGACGGTGACAAGACACAGCTGACGGTGACAAGACACAGCTGACGGTGACAAGACACAGCTGACGGTGACAAGACACAGCTGACGGTGACAAGAGGCAGCTGACGGTGACAAGACACAGCTGATGGTGACAAGACACAGCTGACGGTGACAAGACACGGCTGACGGTGACAAATAGCATCTGACAGTAAAAATTGGAAGTTAACGGTACCAGGAGGCAGCTGACGTGAGAATCAGACGTGACGTGAGAAGCTTACGTGAGGATGTGAGAATCCATCACAGCTTGATGGGTCACTGCCGGGTCTGAACCTGATTTAGATATTACACTGAACAGTTAAACTCCGTATCTTTAATACATTTCATTTTTTTATTAATTTGTATATAGAAGAGTTTTTATATTCTTGTCCAGCCACTAGTATGTGTAGTGTTTCGGGCCTATGAGCTTATTAAGTACATGGAGTGTGTTGTGAAGGCTGCAGAGAGCGTACCCAAACCAACCACAACTCTGCAAGCTCTGCAAACGCTTTTGAGTAAAATATATTAATCAATATTGGTATTTGCCCTCAGAGACGACTGTGAGCCGGAGGTGGGGAAGGCGTTAGGGAGGATGGCGGGCGGGTGGCAGGTGGCGGCGCTGGTGGTGGCGGCGGTAGCGGCCTCCACCAGGGCGGTGATCGTTGACCTCTCCTACACCTACAACGTGGACGCCCCCAACTCCCCCAGAGTCACCCCCTTCTCCCACAAGATCGTCAAGAAGGGGCCCAATAAGATTAATATTTGGTGAGGTATTTCAGAGTTGTTGGTCATTAAACATAACCTTCCGACGAAATCCTGTATATTATCAGTCTGAATTGCTCAAGGATTAAGATGTTGTTAACAGTTGTGATTCTCCTCATCTTAGTTAGCTATTAACATAGATTCTCACTTGCTTGGTTAACCATTAACTTCGATTTTCCTCTGTTAGGTTAGTCATTAAGTTACATTCTAATCTGCATTGTTAGAAGTATTTACCAAGATCTTTCCTGCATCTATTTTGAGTTTAAATATTAATACCTTATTTATATAATCTTTCTTATACCCTTTATCTTTATGTATGCTGCCATCTTGCCACCTCTAACACTTCTTCTTTTGGGAGAAAGTAAATTAAGTTTATATAATCTCTCTTCATGTGGATGGATTTAAGTTCTTGTTAATAACTTCATCATCGTTTTCTGTCCGCGTTCAGGTGAATTAATATCCATTCTCTAGTACGGTGACCAAAGCTGGACTGCATAATATAAATGGCGCCTAACAAGGATAAGATAACGCAGAAGAATAACATAAAATGTCTTGTTGCTAACGCTTCTAGAAATAAATACCAATATTCTGTTTTGTTCTGAATATTTATGCATTTATGTTTAGTTTAAGATCCCCACTCTTCCCTGTGGCACTGACCTGCGTCCGTGTGGCACACCTCCTCGGGGGCATCTTGGCCTTCACTCCCGGTCACTGCTAGTTGCTTGGTAACAGTCTGCGTGATATTAGAGGTCCCACCAAGTAACTCTCCTGACATGCTAGCGACAACCGTGGACTCTTTACTAGGATTTAAAATACTGAATTAAATTTGATATAGTATTTTACAGCTTATAACTACAGCAACCTTCCCCTGTCTCCCAGTCCTCCACACCATTTCCCCCTCCTCCTCCCAACCATTCCTCACTCCCCCGTCCCCTCGTCCTCCCAACCATTCCCCACTCCCCCGTACCCTCGTCCTCCCCACTATTCCCTCCCTCCCCCATCCCTTTATCCTTCCCACTATCCCTCCACTCCACCATAACCTCGTCCTCCTAACCATTCCCGACACCAACGTCCATTCGTCCACCCACCATCTCCCACCTTCCCGTCCCCCCACCATTTCCCACTCCCTCGCCTGATGCATTCCCAAATGATCTAATGTTCCCATGAGAAAATTGGGAACATCAAATGATCTGATGTTCCCATCACTGAAATATAAGAAAAACTATTTAAAAAATGAAAAATAATGAAAATAAAAAAAAAGTATACTCACGAAATGAACGGTATGGTAAACAACACAGCTCAATTCCAATGCAATGTCACACAAAATATTGAAATTAATATGAAAATAAATCGAAATCTTTGAAAATTCAGTTTCTCAGTGCAATCGTAAACATTGAAATGGATTCATAACATATTTAGTATAGCGTGTGATGCTTTTCCGTACAAAAGATGGCGCTGTTTCTTAAAAAAAAATGGTTTTACCTGTTACAGGTATGACATCTATACTTATACTTAAGAAATGAACGGTATGGTATATAGGACAGTTTAATTTCAACACAATGTCACACAAAATAATTCAATCAAAACGAAAATAAATCGAAATCTATGAAAATTCAATTAATCAATGCAATCAGAAACATTGAAATGGAATGCTTAACATATATAGAATAGTAGGTGTTGCTATTACATGCAACAGATGGCGCTGTTTTGGGAAAAAAGCATGTGTTTACCTGTCACAGGTGTGGCATCTATATAGTAGGTATATAAAAACGCGCGCATATTCGATTGGAACGTGGTGTCAAAGTTTCAAAGCAATCGGTGAAGAACTTTGGGAGATTACAGCGTGTGTTGCTCTTACGTCCAACAGATGGTGCTTTAAAAAAAAAAAAACATGTTTTTTCCCGTCAAATGTGAGACATGTATATAGCAGGTGTATATAAACACGTACTTGTTCGAATGCAACGTTCTGTCCAAATTTCAAAACAATCTGTAAAGAGGTTTCAAAGATTTCCCTCACATGATCTTCTTGAGATGATTTCGGGGCTTTAGTGTCCCCGCGGCCCGGTCCTCGACCAGGCCTCCACCCCCAGCAAGCAGCCCGTGACAGCTGACTAACACCTAGGTACCTATTTACTGCTAGGTAACAGGGGCATAGGGTGAAAGAAACTTTGCCCATTTGTTTCTGCCTCGTGCGGGAATCGAACCCGCGCCACAGAATTACGAGTCCTGCGCACTATCCACCAGGCTACGAGGCCCCTTTTGATAAACACAGTTTTTCAAAAGAAGCATGTTTTTTTCCCGTCACAGACATGACATCAATATAATATGTATATAAAAACCCGCTAAGATGTAAATGGAATGTTTTGAGAAAATTTCAAGGCAATCGTGAAGAACTTTCGGAGGTTAGCGATTTTGAACAAACGAACATTTACGTTTTTATTTATCTACTAACTGTACCCGGCCATGCGTTGCTGTGGCTCAGCATGCACAGCAACCTTTCCCTGTCTCCTAGTCCTCCCCACTATCCCCCACTCCCTAATCTCCTTGTCCTCCCAACCATTTTCCATTCCCCTCGTCCCCACCATCCCCAACTCCCTTGTCTTCTTGTCCTCCTCCACCTTTACCCCATCCCCTATCCTCTCGTCCTCCCCAACATCCCCCACTCCCGTCCCCTCGTCGTTCATACCATTCCCCACTCCCTCGTCTGAAGATCAAATGATCTGATGTTCCCATCAGAAAATTGGGAACATCAAATGGTCTGGGGCTAGATTCACGAAGAAGTTACACAAACACTTACGAACCTGTACATCTTTTCTCAATATTCTGCAGCTTTGTTTACTATTATTAAACAGTTAATGAGCTCCAAAGTACCAAGAGGCTGTTTATAACAATAACAACAGTTGATTGGCAAGTTTCTATGCTTGTAAACTGTTTAATAAATATAACCGAAGCCATCAAAGATTGAGGAACGATGTACACGTTCGTAAGTATTTACGTAACTGCTTTGTGAATCTGGCCCCAGATGTTCCCATCACTGAAATATAAGAAAAACTGTTCAAAACACGAAATGAAAATATGTAAAAAAAAAAAAAAAACTATACTCACGAAATAAATGGTATGGTAAACAACACAGCTCAATTTCAAGGCAATGTCACACAAAATAATTAAATCAAAATTAAAATAAATCGAAATTTATGAAAATTCAATTTATCAATGAAATCAGAAACATTGAAATGGAATCGCAACATAGTTAGTATAGCATGTGTTGCTATTATGTGCAACAGATGGCGCTGTTTTTCAAAAACGCATGTTTTTACCTGTCACAGGGGTGGCATCTATATAGTAGGTATATAAAAAGACGTGCCCATTTGAATGCAACGTTGTCTCAAAATTTCAAAGCAATCGGTAAAGAGGTTTCGAAGATTTCCCTCAATTAAATAACACATGAAAAAAAAGTTTTTCAGAAAAAAAAACATTTTTTTTTACCGTCACAGACGTGACATCTATAGTATGTATATAAAAACTTACACGGATGCGAATGGAATGTTGTGTGAAAATTTCAAAGCAATCGGTGAAGAACTTTCGGAGATTAGCGGTTATGCACAAACGAACATTTCCATTTTTATTTATATAGATTTATATAGATATACACAGAACTCATACATTTGACTTGTGTCTCTCTAAGTGTTCACTTGCAGCACTCACTACCGCAAATGTAACACACATATGTGTTAAATATAACACACATATGTGTTAAATGTAACACACATATGTGTTAAATGTAACACACACATATGTGTTACATGCCTTAGTCACTTCCAGCATTGTGACGTGGACTGACGCCGTGTTGGGAGGAGAAACACCTCAGTGAGTCAGTCCCCACAACACAGTACATGAAAAGCCGCACACAACTAAATAGGCTTTTGCCATTCTAACTGAAGACGGATAAATAATAAACTAAACAAAGTGGGTCTTTCGTGCATCCAAAAAATATAAGCCATCCTCCTGTTTAGATAGTACTTTATGTAACTATGTTCACCATAGTACAAAGATTTATGTACTAAGCAATTAGATAGTGGAATTTGGTACTATTCAGTTTATAATCGGAAAAATATTAAGCTAAAAATCAAACATATAATCCTAGGCCTAGTATAGTACACATATGCACTATATTAGCCCTCAGATAACGTTTATTAGGCCTAGGAAGGTTAGGATAGTTTAATTTGTCTTTGCAAAATGAAAATAAAATCTTTTCCTATTTATCCAAACTCAATAGTACCGATTTTTAGTTTCTAATTGCGTTGTGCGTCGGTATATGTACTATGGTCCTCGTCGTTATTATACGGACTCCCACAACAATGGGCTGTTGAAGTAATGAAATAGACCACAACCAACCGTAGGAACTTATTGATAAGAGAGAGCTCATGGTCGGCTATGTACAAACAAAAAATCAAACTTGTTCATTAATGGATTAATGAGTCCTACTGACGGTTGTGATTAATTATAAGCGTACATTGTTATCATGATTAATTATAAGCGTACATTGGTTATCATGATTAACTATAAGCGTACACTGTTATCATGATTAATTATAAGCAGACATTGGTTATTATGATTAATTATAAGCGTAAATTGGTTATTGTGATTAATTATATGCAGACATTGCCATATTAATGATAATTAATAATTACTGAGAGCGTTGTGCCCCGGGGAGCAGGCAGGAGGTGAACGACTTCTGCGCCTCTGAGCACTCCGGCACACACCTCGACGCCCCCATCAACTTTGCTCAGCACGGCTGGTCCACTGAGGCCATCCCTCTCTCTAGGCTCTGGAGAGTACCAGGTGAGTCACTGTGGTGGCGTACCTGGTGAGTCACTGTGGTGGAGTACCTGGTGAGTCACTGTGGTGGAGTACCTGGTGAGTCACTGTGGTGGAGTACCTGGTGAGTCACTGTGGTGGAGTACCTGGTGAGTCACTGTGGTGGAGTACCTGGTGAGTCACTGTGGTGGAGTACCTGGTGAGTCACTGTGGTGGAGTACCTGGTGAGTCACTGTGGTGGCGTACCAGGTGAGTCACTGTGGTGGAGTACCTGGTGAGTCACTGTGGTGGAGTACCAGGTGAGTCACTGTGGTGGCGTACCAGGTGAGTCACTGTGGTGGAGTACCTGGTGAGTCACTGTGGTGGAGTACCAGGTGAGTCACTGTGGTGGAGTACCACGTGAGTCACTGTGGTGGAGTTCCAGGTGAGTCACTGTGGTGGAGTACCTGGTGAGTCACTGTGGTGGAGTACCTGGTGAGTCACTGTGGTGGCGTACCAGGTGAGTCACTGTGGTGGAGTACCTGGTGAGTCACTGTGGTGGAGTACCTGGTGAGTCACTGTGGTGGAGTACCAGGTGAGTCACTGTGGTGCAGTACCAGGTGAGTCACTGTGGTGGAGTACCAGGTGAGTCACTGTGGTGGAGTACCAGGTGAGTCACTGTGGTGTAGTACCAGGTGAGTCACTGTGGTGTAGTACCTAGTGAGTCACTGTGGTGGAGTACCAGGTGAGTCACTGTGGTAGAGTACCAGGTGAGTCACTGTGGTGGAGTACCAGGTGAGTTACTGTGGTGGAGTACCAGGTGAGTCACTGTGGTAGAGTACCAGGCGGTACAGGTTTAATTATTAATGTTTCCTCCCTGCCTTCCCAAGCCAATTTCTGTTTTCATTTAAGCTGTATTTATTACACATAATTGTTGTTGCCTTGGCCTTACCAATGTTTACAAAATGGTGCAATAAAACGAAGCCAAACATATTAAGTGTAAAGACCCATCTAGTTGAGTGGTTGTGTGGCGTGAGGCGAGTGTGTAACTGTGTGTGGTTGGTGACAGCTGTGGTGGTGGACGTGTCGGGGCCCATCAAGAACGCGCAAGACAAGAACTACGAGGTGAAGGTGCGGGACCTGGAGCAGTGGGAGAGTGACCACGGCACCATCCCTGACGGCGCCCTCGTCCTCTTCCGGACTGGCTGGGCCAAGAAGGTCAAGAACATCAGGGACTTCGCCGGCCTCGATCAGCACAACACGTTAAACTTTCCGGGTAATTGAATTGTATTTTTCTTCTGACATTGCTTTTCGAAATGTATCCGAGATATTTTGCCCTTTTTGTACATTCAAATAATGCAAAGCATAGCTACATTAATTTTTACATTTTTAAAGTCTAACAAAGAAATATTCAAATGTTTAGAATATTTTCTCTGAGCTTCTGCTTTAAATTTTTATTAATTTAGTATAAATATTAAACTCAACTTTGATGTAAGACATCGATTTAAAATTGGATTAATATTTTAATGTGTGGATGTGAACGTAATCTTTGGGTATCAGCCTATATCTGGCCCCATATTGTCTATCTCCATTATTGATATAATAAGGTCCTTGTATGGCATTACTCTGCCTCGTATTGCCTGGGCTCTTGGTGTAAGCGGTACAGGTTACAGGATTTGTTTTTCCTGAAGGTCCACAATTTGCTGCAATATTTAACGTTTCTCTTGACATCATTAATGGTAGGCCGAAGTACTTGAATTGATCCGCATAAAAATTAATTTGTTCCATTTTATTGTAAATATTCCATATTCACTTGGACAGTACACTGTGATAATTTTCTGCTTTACTAAACACGATAATACACAGAGAGTAATCAAACTAACGTGACTGCATCAGTGAGAAAATTTATGCAAACCCGCCAAACACACGACGAAATTACGATGTTGCTACAACGTTCAAACACGGTTTAACACCTAACTAATTGTAATCCAATATAGCGAGTTGTAACAACGTTCAAATACACCATAAAAACGTTATAACAAGATTACTTTATTACAAATAATAAAGTAATTACAACTTACAACTTTATTACAAGTTGTAACAAGCAGAAAATAGAAACAGTTACGTTGTGTATTTGCTGGGAAGAAAATTGAATTTCTCATTGTTAGTGTGAGTACTCTCTGTGTATTGAAAGACGAAGTATAATATTCCTGGATGACAGAGCCAGAGTGCATGGGGGATTGTGATAAAATCCTGATCTGGCTTCAGTGGAAGCCTCAGGAAACCCTTGTGTGTTCAGTAAAACTCCAGGTTGCAATTCTTTTGACCATGTCGTGGTGTAGTGGCTAAAGCATGTGCGTGGGAACACCCACCGCATAAGTTCAAACCCTCTTCACGGCTCCTACGGTTTTTCTCAAACAGGATAATGTTATGTGAGGCTCTTTACTTTATCTGCCTTCATTGTAATACTGAAATGCTTTGCTGATGATGACTCACCATAACGTGGCTGAAGATATGATGACCAAACCACACTTCAGAAGATGTGGCAACCACGACGTTTCGGTCCGTCCTGGACCATTATCAAGTCGTGTGATAATGGTCCAGGACGGACCATTATCAAGTCGTGTGATAATGGTCCAGGACGGACCATTATCAAGTCGTGTGATAATGGTCCAGGACGGACCGAAACGTCGTGGTTTCACCATCTTCTGATGTGTGGTTTGCTTATTAAACAAATATTGAACATATATTAACATATATATAAACATACATATAACATATATTAAACTTTGCAGTTTAATATTTCTAATCTTCCTCCTCTACTTCCAGCTTTCTACTCCTTGATTCTTGCTTCCGGCGGCACGTTAATTATATTAGTTTAGGTTAGATTACGTTTGATTACATTTCAATGTTAATTTTGACTTAAATTTAAAAAAAATATCAAATCATATATAATGTAATTGAAAGTTTTATCATTCCATCAGAAAAACAATTGGATAATTATTATTTTAAGAAAATTCGGCTTGTTAATTAACTTGGCCTCTTAGGTACAACATATATATATAAATTAATTGACATATGATTATCATTGTCAGCATAACGTGCTCTTGCATCATTAAAACCTTTACATCCATCACTATAATGTTTTCTCAGGTATGTGAATATCACAATAGTCAGCACTTACATTGAGACCTCCTGAGACAGCAACATGTTCTCGCACTTTTGTATAGTCAATATTGACTTATTAAATACGTGCATATGTGACATACTAATTTATTGTGAATATTTTAGTTTACCTTGAAAAGCTTCATAGAAAACACCGACCTTACCTAACCTTCTTAGTATGTTAGGATAAGCATCTTATTGCTTCGTAATTACAATTATTACTTAACCTATTTTAGGTATAGGTTAAGTAATAATTGTAATTACGAAGCAATAAGATGCTTATCTTAACATACTAAGAAGGTTAGGTAAGGTCGGTGTTTTCTATGAAGCTTTTCAAGGTAAACTAAAATATTCACAATAAATTAGTATGTCACATATGCACGTATTTAATAGGTTAATATTGACTATAAGAAAGTGCGAGAACGGGTTGGAGACTAACGGATGCCTACTACCATCACACTGCTACACTACAACATGCCAGCCATAATAATACACGCCGGCTGTCATTCCCAGGAATTGGTAAGGGCGCGGCGGAGTGGCTGGCGAGGCACGCGAGCAGACACAGCTACCAGAAGGGTGTGGTCGGTGTGGGCATCGATACACTCTCCCTTGACAAGGGTCAGACTGTGAGGTTCCCGGCCCATGTGGCACTCTACCAGCACAACATCTACGGCCTCGAGAACCTGGCCAACCTAGACAAGGTGATTTTTAGATATTCTCTCATTCCATGTTTGTCTGTCTGTTCGAGGTTGGGGGCCAGAAGCTTTGGTCTAGCCTCACCAAACTTTGCAGGGTGACTGGTCTTTGTCCAGGGATGGTCACAGGCAGGTCGGGGTCGAGCCCCATCCCTCCTCCTCCCCGCCTCCTCCCCTGCCTTTGCATGAAACTACAAATCAAACTAAATTCCATTCTCGCTAAATGAAAAAGTCCATTCTCACTCAGATCACAAGGATGAGAGGAAGTGGTGAGAAAAGAAACTGGTGAAAGAAAGAAGACTTCGTGAATGACAGTGAAGGTGGTAATGGTTGGGAAGGGGTTGATGAATAAGGGAAGGTGGTGAAGAGCAGAAAAGGTGATGAAGGAGAAGGAAGATAATGAAAGGTAAGGAAGATGGTGAAGGGTAGGGAAGGTGACGAAGGAGAGGGAAAGTGTGATGGTGAAGTGACGATGATTACAGTGATGAAGATAGTTAGAAGGAAATATGGTTACAGTGATGTGAAGGAAAACCCACGTAAAAGATATAGTGGGTAGGGGGCAAGAAAAGCCACTGCATAGACAATATTGGCAGTCATTACACAGCGACACCAGCGTACCGACCAGCGGGCTTCTTCATTCAAAGGTCTGGTGCTCTTGGATATATTCCGTTCTTCGGGCTAAGTGCTCAGGTAAGTGTTGGCCTTCCTTTGGACTCTTTACTTCATTTGGTAATGGCTGTTGCCTCTGCTTGTTGGTTTGCGATATGGTGGCAGTTCTGGGATGCTCTGCTGTGCTCTTATCGTTTCCTGGGCTTTGTAGTCAACTTTCTCATCTGCCTGCTTTTATTGGATTTGTTATGGGGGGTATATGTGGTTGTACTGTGAAGAGCCAATAGCTAGAGTCAAGAGGTATCTAAAATAGTGTGATAAATAGGCCCGGCCCCCAAGGAACATAGGTTCCTGTTAATGATTCAATGTTTTAGATTACAGGTCTGCTGTCTAGTAGCGAATCATCTACCCACTTCAAAAGGATGAATTGATACTTCCCATATACTAACTTATTTATTAAACCCTCTAATAACCCCCATATATATTAATACAACTATTTACTTTACCACTCTACCTTACTTTAAACACCTTGGTCCACATAGGCAGGATGCAAGGTTTACAATTACAAACTAGGGTAAAGTCTACTTGGAGAGAAACACATGTAAGGCTTGAAGCAGCCTGGGTAGCTATGAGCCACGTGGTACACTAGTCACAATGGAGTACACTTAGTGATGCCAAAACACTGACTTAGACTACAAAATAACTATAAGTATATCTAACCAGGTAGCACGGTAAATGTATAAATATGGTACTTATCTTGGACTTAGATTAAACACTAGTGGGTTATGGTCCATGTATACTTCCACTATATTAACTGTTAGATATACTTCAAACTTTTTACATGTTAACACTAGCGCCAATACTTCTTTTTCAACCACTGAATAATTGCATTGCGCCTTGTCAAATTTCACAGAGTAATAGTACATTGGATGGTCCACTTGATCATCCCCAGTTTGCAACCACACTGCACCAGCACCCGAGTCAGATGCATCAACGTGAATTTTAAACGGTCGGTCAAACCCTGGACTAGCGAGCACTGGGGCGGAAGCTAAGATCAATTTCAAGTTTTAAAAGCCTCTGCACAGTCTGTTGACCACTTAAATTTAACGGCCATTTGCAACAAATCCGTGAGAGGAGTAACGACACTGGAAAAGTTCTGACAAAAGCGGTGGTAGTACACACACATACCGATAAACTGTTACACTTCCTTTTTAGACCAGAGCACTTGACACTCAAGAATGGCACTGATTTTATCTTGCCAAGGTAACACTTTTCCTTGGCCCACTTCATAACCAAGATACGTCACTGTGCCTGGGCCAAAATGACGCTTTTTTACATTTAAGGTTAGATTTACACTTTTCAAAATTAAACAACTGGCATAACCTAGCTATGTGGTCAGCCTAATTTCTATCAAAAAGCACAATGTCATCTAAATACGCCCAACAATTTGGTACCTTTGCAACCAGAGAGTTCATTAGCCTCTGGAACGTTGCAGGGGCATTATGCAATCCGAACGGTAACACTTGATACTCGAAGACACCATCGGGTGTTACGAACGCAGTTAGATGCTTGGCATGCTAGGTGAGCGGGATCTGATAATATTCCCCATGAGATATCGAATTTTGAGACGTACATGGCATTTCCGATCTCGTCAATGCAGTCTTCTAGGAAGAGCAGTAGATAGGGATCCACAATGGTCACCTTGTTGAGCTGCCGGTAGTCGGTGAATAGTCGCCAGGAGCTATCTGGTTTGGGGACCAAAAGGCAGGGCGAGCACCAAGAGCCCTGGCTCAGCCGGATGAAGCCGTGCTGGAGCAGGTAGGCTACTTCTTGCCGCACGATGGCCTTCTTTTCCTGACTCATCCGAAAGGGTTGAAGACGAATGGGGGTGTAGTCCATCAAATTGACATCATGGTAGATGTCATCAGTCTGGGTCGGGACCTCCCCGAACAGACTGGAGAATTCGTCAAGTAACGACTGCACCTCTTCACGTTGGGACATCTGCAAATGGGACAGTCCCTCCTCCACAGCATTCACAGAACTAGAATTATTGAGAATGAGATTAGTTGGGTCCCCAGAACAATCATCCCCTCCCTTACTGGAAAAGGAAACATTGGTTAGAGCGACGGGCCTGGGGCCCTGGAACGTCTTCAGACGGTTCAAGTATACAAGCATCACCTGGTTACGCTTGTCAGAGTGCCTCACTTTGTACGTGAGGTCCCCAACCTTTTCTGTCACAATATAGGGGCCTTCGTACTTGTGAGACACATTGTTCCCCAGTCGTGGTTTTAATACCAGGACAGGGTCACCAGGCTGAAATACCCTCAACTTAGCCTTAGCATCGTTTCGTTCTTTCATATTTTCTTGGGCCTTCCCAAGATAATTTAGTGCAGCCGCCTTGCAATCACTGAATCTCTGGTGGTGTTGCGCAAAGAAAGCCGAACCTTCGGCCAACGTTACGTTCCCTAACAGATTCTCCTGTAACATTTGTAAGGGTCCACAAACCATATGGCCAAAGACTAACTCAAAAGGAGAACAACCCAGTGAAGTTTGTAACCCCTCTCGAGCAGCAAACAGCATAAGGGAGGTTCTCATTCTAAAATCTATATGAACTCTCACGATGTCTTCAACATCTGCTTTAGTGTTTGATGGAACCACTCAATTACCCCCTGACTCTGTGGATGGTATGGGCTAGAAACCTTATGAGTTGTTCCATGGTCCTTACAGAATTGTTAAAAAATGTCAGACTTAAAATTAGTACCACTGTCAGTTTGCACGACCCGAGGCAGTCCAAAAGTAGACAAAAATTGCAACATACGAGCAACAACAGTCTTTGCTTGGATGTTCCTTACAGCAAAAGCCTCTGGGTAACGAGTACTGATACACATCATCGTAATTAGGTAAATATTACCAGACTTAGTTCAAGGTAATGGACCAACACAGTCCATTACCACATTAGAAAATGGTTCCTCCAGCACGACAATAGGCCTTAGGGGAGCTTTAGGTGGTATCTGGTTTGGTTTCCAAACAAGCTGACAAGGAATACATGAGTTACAAATTTTTGCCACATAGCTTTTCAGCTTGGGCCAGTAAAAATATTTAAAAATTTTATGATAGGTGATATTAATGCCTTGATGTCCCCCCATAGGGTCATCATGAGCAGCTGCCAAAACTTTCTCTCTATAGCAGGTAGGCAACATAACCTGGTGGACTATCTCCCACTCATTTGACAAGGGAGAGCTCTGTGGTCTCCATTTTCTCATCAAAATCTGATCCTTGTAATAGTTCCCAGTTATTGCATCTACAATCTCCTCCTTAGAGAGAGCTACATCATGACATTCTGCAAGACTGGGGTCAGCTTTCTGTAAATTACTCAAGGATGCATCCATGTCTTGGACAGATGCCATCGGCCGAGGCTCAACAGGGTTCTTCTCCACCTCCTCACTACTCTCGGTAGGAGGTGATGGTAGGCTCTCCACAGTGTTCTCGGCCTCATCATCGATTCGGGCCATGAACGTGTTCGCAAGGTCCACTTGACTTTCACCACTCGGAAAGTTCCTCTTGTCCTCAGGATTTACCACCTTAGCAACCACAGAGCTGCTCTCACATTTAAGTCCCATATACCTGGTCACCGCACACGCAGGGTACACAACATTATTCTCTGCAACGGGTAGATCCAGGCAAACCTTAGGGGTAGGCAACATAAGAGGCAGTCTGAGTCCCCTACCTTATCCCCTGCTAAATCATTACCAACTATTACATCAACATTAGGGAAAGGTAGGTAAGAAGTGACTCCGACTGTACAAACACCCTTGTGGAAATCAGATTCCAGGGTAACCTTACGGAGGGGCACTGCTTGAGTATCACTAGTGACACCCTCGACCAGTACTACCTCTCCAGTGTCGATGGTGTTGGCACCTTGTAACGCACTCTCCAAGATTAAAGTCTGGATGGCACCGGTGTCTCGAAAGATCACCACGTCCTTCCAGGAAGAACCCTCAGACAAAAGTAGTCTCCCTTTCGATAAGAATGGGGTAAGCAGGTTCTACCACTGTTGGTTGGAGGTCTTACTCCCAAACCCTTCAGAAGGCCTCAAGCCTTGTGTCACAACAAGAGCATTGGGTCTCTTTTCTGGGTTCAGTTGCCAACAATGGGTAGCAGGGTGGTTTGAACATTTACAGTAACCACAGTATCGTCGGGGAGAAGAGACATTACTAACAGGATTTCCCTTTGGTTCACCCTTAGGTGCCATGGGGTTAGGCAATTTAACAGGGTTAGTTTTGTCAGAAACAGGTGCATTAGTTATAGGGTTAGAATGGAATGGCTGTGGGTATAAGTTTTCTTACAAATTGGACTATAATTATTTTTATTGGGCCTTTTGCCCGCCTACTGGTAGT